ACTTCCTTACACATTCTACGAGGCCAACATCACTGTGATACCAAAGCCTGACAAGGACAACACAAAAAAGGAAAACTACAGGCCAATATCATTGAGGAACATAGATGCAAAAATCCTAAACAAAATATTGGCAACCCAAATACGGCAATACATCAAAAGGATCATACATCATGACCAAGTGGGATTTATACCAGGGACACAGGGATGGTTCAACCTCTGCAAATCAATCAATGTGATAAACCACATTAACAAAATGAGGAATAAAAACCACATGATCATCTCAACAGATGCAGAGAAAGCATTTGACAAGATCCAACATCCACTTATGATAAAAACTCTTAAAAAAATGAGGATAGAAGAATAATATAATAATATAATAATCAACATAATAAAGGCCATATATGACAAACCCACAGCCAACATCATATTCAATGGGGAAAAACTGAATGCCATCCCTCTGAGAACAGGAACAAGACAAGGATGCCCAGTGTCACTACTCTTATTCAACATAGTACTGGAGGTTTTGGCCAGAACAATTAGGCAAGAGAAAGGAATAAAAGGAATCCAAATAGAGAGTGAAGAAGTGAAACTCTCACTGTTTGCAGATGACATGATCTTATATATAGAAAACCCTAAAGAATCCATTGGAAAGCTATTAGAAATAGTTAATAACTACAGTAAAGTTGTAGCGTACAAAATCAACTTACAAAAATCAGTTGCATTCCTGTACTCTAATAATGAACTGACAGAAAGAGAACTCAAGAATACAATTCCATTTACAATTGCAACAAGAATAATAAAGTACCTAGGAATAAATTTAACTAAGGAGGTGGAGGACTTATACAATGAAAACTATAGGACATTATTGAAAGAAATAGATAATCACATAAAGAGATGGAAAGAGATTCCATGCACATGGATTGGAAGAGTAAACATACTTAAAATTTCCATACTACTCAAAGCAATCTACAGATTCGATGCAATCCCAATCAGAATCCCAACCACATTCTTCACGGAAATAGAACAAAGAATTCTAAAATTCATATGGGGCAACCAAAGACCCTGAATTGTTAGAACAATACTGAGAAAAAAGAACAAAGCTGGAAGGATCACAATCCCTGACTTCAAAATGTACTACAAAGCCATAGTGATGAAAACAACATGGTACTAGTACAAAAACAGACACACAGATCAATGGAACAGAACTGAAAGCCCAGAAATAAAACTGCACATGTACAGACAGCTAATCTTTGACAAAGGTGCCAAGAACATACAATGGAGAAAAGACAGTCTCTTAAATGAATAGTGTTGGGAAACTGGACAGCCACATGCAAAAGAATGAAAGTAGACCATTATCTCATACCGTACACAAAAATAAACTCAAAATAGATGAAAGACTTGAAGATAAGTCCTGAAACCATAAAACTCCTGGAAAATAATATAGGTAGTACAGTCTTTGACATGGAACTTAAAAGGATCTTTTTGAACACCATGTCTTCTCAGACAAGGGAAACAGAAGAAAAAATAAACAAGTGGGAGTTCATCAGACTAAAGAGCTGCAAGGCAAAAGAAATGAGGATCAAAACAAAAAGACAACACACCAACTGGGAGAAAATATTTGCAAATCATGTATCCAATAAGGGGTTAATCTCCATAATATATAAGGAACTCACACAACTGAACAACAAAAAAACAAACAGCCTGATGAAAAAGTGGGCAGAGGATAGGAACAGACATTTTTCCAAAGAAAATATACAGATGGCCAATAAACACATGAAAAGATGTTCAACATCACTAATCATCAGGGAAATGCAAATCAAAACTACACTAAGATACCACCATACACCTGTTAAAATGGCTATAATCACCAAGACTAAAAATAACAAATGTTGGAGAGGGTGTGGAGAAAAGGAACCCTCATACACTGCTGGTGGGAATGCAAACTGGTGCAGCCACTATGGAAAGCAGTATGGAGAGTCCTCAAAAAACTAAAAACAGAACTACCATACAACCCAGCTATCCCACTACTGGGTATCTACCCAAACAACTTGAAATCAACAATCCAAAGTAGCATATGCAGCCTTATGTTCATTATAGTACTATTCACAATAGCCAAGACACGGAAGCAACCCAAGGGCCCATCGACTGATGACTGGATAAAGAAGATGTAGTATTTATATACAATGGAATACTACTCAGCCATAAGAAAAGAAAAAATCATCCCATTTGTAGCAACATGGATGGACCTGGAGGGAATTATGCTAAGTGAAATAAGCCAGACTGAGAAAGACAAACGCCACATGATTTCACTCATATGTGGAATATAAACAAACACATGGACAAAGAAAACAGTTCAGTAGTCACCAGGGAAGGGGGGTGCGGGGTGGGCACAGGGTGTGAAGCGGAGCACTTATGTGGTGACAGACAAGAAATAATGTACAACTGAAATCTCACATTGATGTAAACTATTATGAACTCAAATGAAAAGTAAATAAAAATTTTAAATGAGAGAAAAAAATGGTTGCTTCTGAGAGTCCTGCAAAGTAGGTCGTTGTGTTTTCTGTCTGGAAAAAGAGGATCCTAAAAAAAAAATTAACTCAAAATGGATCTTTTTTTTTTCTCTGCCCACCAAGAGTGAGGAATCTAAATGATACTTTCTGGAACAGAGGAAGGAAGGAATAGAGAAAGGGAGAGGTAGAGGTGATTGGCTTTTACTGTCACCATTGGGTGTGTCTGTCCCTTGAACAATGGCAAGAAAACCAAGACCATCCCCTCAGGGTACATAGCTCAGCAGGTGCCTTCCTGAGGCTTCTCCCTTTTTCACCAAACTCAGCCATAAGTAAACAGGATTTAGGCTGTTCTGGAAGGTGTGCAGAATGTCCACAGAAGTCATCTAGACCAGCCATTCAGACTGTGCTTCCTAGGTCCCAGGGCTGTCCTGAGGGGTCTTGGAGACCCTTGGGGATAACTTCAACTGGAAAAATTCTGTTTATGCTCCTGGGTAATATTCCTTTTAAACAAATGATTCTGTTGCTGAAAGAAAGTTTGAAAGCCACTTCCTAACCGAGTGACCTTGGGCAAGTTACTTCATTTCTCTGGGTGTGTTTCCTCATCAGTAAAATTGAAATGTTAGTAGTGATCATTATGACAATTGAGTGAAATCATGCATTTAAACCCTTAGCATGATGCCTGCTACCTATAAGTGTAAAGAATGTTAGCTGCTTATTATTATTGTTTTTATAATATTAGTACCAATCGTCATACCTCCTGGCCTAAAAGAGATAAAGGGACTTGTCCAAGGTCACTCGGGAAGGTAGTACATGGAGAAAGAGCTGAGGCCCGGACAGACATGATAATGTTACGATGCAGGTACTTGAAGGCTGCTGAGCACCATCCTCTGATATTTGTCCTTTTTCTCCCAGCTGAGATAAAGCTCTTCAGTGGAGAGAGAGTTATATAACTCCATATGGAGAGTGAGCGAGGGCTCCAATGCTGTGCTTTGCGTCCTCCTGTTGTAATTGCTGGTCCCTTCCTGACTCCATGAGGTAGAGTCCTATGTCCTTGATATTCCTACCTTGGGAGCAAGTTTTGATGACCAAACTTACCTTTGGAGAATCTCCACTTTGTGAAAAAGCAGTATCAAATTATGAACGTGTTATTAATTGTGTGTGTATTATGTTTGTTTACTCGCCTTGGCAAGTAAGCCCCTCAGCCCTCTCTGAGCGTTGGTTTCCCCATTTCTTAGAGAAAATAATATCTCCCCTCTCCTCCAGGTGGCAAGGAGAAGCAGAGATCATGATTTGTTAATTCTTTGAAAAACATAGAATGGTAAATAATTTGGGGGAGGGAAGAAATTATCATTTTTAAAATTGAAAAAGAAATCCATACTTGGAATGGATATTGGGCAAACTGTATCATAAGCAGATATTTTTAATGTATTAATAGTAAACAAAGTTTTTAAAGCAGTAATAGCAGAATAATATGTTTTGATTCAAAAATCGGTGAAAATAATACCTATTATTAATCATCCACACAGAATTTTAGGTCTGTGTGTCAACACTCACGTGTGGGCAGTCCCTAAAGAAAAGCTAGGATTTCCCTTGCTTTATTGATGGATTGTATGTTTAGAATAATAATGGCTTAGAAATGCAACATGTTGTCTGGTCAGTTTTCTAAACTAAAGTTTCAGGATTCTAGCAGCAAAAAAGAGAAAAGAAACAGGGAATCCTATTCATTATGCATGCATAGTCAGTAACTGTAAGGGGAAACTTTTAAGCAAAGAAATCAAATCAGGAATTTTATCAAAAAACACAGTACTTTCTACACACTGTCTGGTGCTCTGCTAGCTATGTTACATTTCTTACATTGTCTCCTGTAATCTTCGCATTCACTCTGTAAGGCAGGTACCAGCGACCCCATTTCACAGATGAGCAGACTGAAGCTCAAAGAAATAGAGGAATTTGTCTGCAGGCCCACAGATAGGAAATGGCAGGACTGGACCCAAAGTCTTGCCACTACTTGTGTTCATTAATAAGGCTGGCATCGTGTCTTTAACTAAAATCCACAGAAATATCAGAAAAATCTAAAGGTGTCGAGCCCAGGGGAGCAGAACACTTGTGGAACACCGTGGCGCCCTGGTGTCGGGGCAGGATCTGGGCTCTGTGGCCTTTCCTTTCCCTGTCCTTTCAAGCTTGCCTTCTCACTGCCACCACGAAATCTCAGTGCTTTCTCTTAATCAGGGAGTATGACTCTGTTTACCAAAAAGGAAACTGAAAATTGTTTCAAATGTTTTCGTTGACTGCACATTCCATCCTGGAAATCCCCACAGATGCTAAAACCACGGTCAGGGACCCGAGAATTTCCCAAACCACGTAGACAGAGCCTCGCGTGGCTGGTTGCTCTGAAAGCTGAGGGAGCGGACTCTGCGCTCGCTCATAATGGCGACGGTCCTGGCTGCTGTGAGAAACTGCCTGAAATAATTTTTTTCATGTTCATTTTAGCAACTTATGAAGTTGGAATCGAAGAACTCCAAAAGGTATTGTTTCCTCTCTTCTTACCAGCTTTATAACTAAAACAAGTGTACAGAGTTGATGCTAAAGTAGTTTCTTTCGTGAGGGAAGGAAGGTCTTTGTGTTTTGATTTTCCCCAGATTTCTGAGGCTTATCCAGACTCCAGCTGCCACGATTCTGAAGCCTGAGCCCTGCCATTTCGGGAACAGAAAATGTGTCACGGGGTGGAAGAAGATGGTTCCAATCCATCCCCAGCCCCTTCTCTACAGTGGGCAGCAGCAACTGGCCTTTAATAACTGTCCGTTCAGAGAGAAGAGTTGTTTGGCACAAGCTAAATTTGTATATCCTGTGCTTTCACGAGAATGACCAGACCCTCGAAGGCATATTTTCTGGGCTCCTGGTGGGCACGGTGCCAGGTGCCACCTTGAGGGCAATGTAGCAAGTTAATTAGGGTCCAAGCAGAATCCCTGGCCTCAGTCTCAGCTCCTGGTTGTGTGATCTTCCAGCTCCATTTCCTTACCTGTAAACTAGCAAGAATAGAGCACCCACATCTGGGGTCACGGTGAGAATGAAAATAGCTAAATTCAGGTACGCGGTTTAATAGTGCTGGCGTCTGTTCCAGCGTTTTACCTCTCCGAGCTTCAGTAGCGTCTTCTGTAAAATGCTGTCGTCTCCACGAGGGCAGGAAGCACGTGCCCGTGGTTGCCACACCTGCAGTGGCAGATGCTCAGTAAATGTGGGGACCAATACGTGTTTCACTGAATTGCTGAGAGCATGAAGTCAGACAAAGTGGCTGAGCACCTAGGATAGTGCCTGGCACACAGTAGGCGCTTCCCTCATGTTGTCACAGGGTCCTTAAGGTTCCACTCTTCTCTCATGGGGTACATTTAGTCTAGATCCTTCAGCTTTCTTATGCTTACTGGAAAGGATTGATCATTTGTGGATACACTTTATAGACAGAACACTATAAATGATTATTATTCCTATTAATGAAAGGAGAAACATTCTACTAGAATGCTTCACTTACCCGGCAACATCAGCAAATAAACTTTCTGCACAAGTGAACTCTCCAAATGACCAAATTTTATCCTATTAAAATAAAAAAGCGTGAAAGTATCTTTAATTTTTAAACCTTTTACCCTTCAGACATGCACCCCGTTTGGTCAGCACTGTTGCGCTCGGTGGGTGGAATCTGATCCCACCCCTTCCTGAGGACGCGGATGCTCTGGAGCCCCGGGGGCTGAGGGGCTCAGTGCATGCCCTTCTCAGGAGACGCTCCTGGGCCTTGCAGGTGTCCAGAGCTGACTGCCTTCACACCAAACCACCACAAGTCTGTTTACTGTAATTGTTGTCTCTTTTCTGAAAATTATCATTTCTCTCTACTGTCTCTTTGCGTGTAGCAGTGAGTCTGCACGCGGTCAGGCATGTCCCAAGTCCCTGTTGTGTGCCGGGCGCTTGTGCATACATGGTAGCACTTAATCCTCCTGGTCACCCTGTGAGCTGGTGTCACGGCTTCCATTTTACAGAGGAGAACTCAACTCAAGGCTCAGAGAGGTTAAATAACCTGTAAATAATGCAGCAGAGATATAAACCAAGCTCCCTGACCTTTCATTCCGCCAGCACTGTCGTCCAATTTGCTAGAATTATATGGAAAGTAAAAGCCAATAGTCCCTGAATGAAGGCCTGCGGGCTCTCCTCAAGGGAACGTATGTGAGCTATTAGGCCTGGGCTTTGTGGCAGCGTTTGGATGCTTAGGTATTTTCTGTTTTCTTCAGAGTTCTTGGCTAGATTCCAAATAAAGCACGGCATCAGACATGTCACAACTGAATAAATGAGGGGCTATGTTGTGGTCTCTGGAATAAAACTTTAATGCAGTCAAATCCAGATCATGTGGGAGCTGATTTTTTATCAGAGTGCGCATGCTCAGTGAGGGAGAATTCCCAGCGTGATTTGCATATTTGCATAGACCGATTTTGCCCACTGAAGCATTGCTCAAATACCACAAATTCACATTTCTTCATATGATTTAACATTTCTCTGTTCTACAGACGCATTCCTGGAAAGGCGTGCAAAGAACAATTTATTCTTCTAAGTCAAATTACACACGCCCTCTAGCATGCACCGTGACTTCACAAACGGCTCGTTTTCTTTTTGGATTGATCTGCGGTTCTACTGGCAACAGCTCATGGAACTTTCTGTTGTCAGTGTCTCCCCTTGTCTGTACTGAGACCTCACCTGCCTCACCTTTGGTCTAGTTTCTAACGATCTGTACCCAAACAGATGTCTGATTTGGAATGATTTATGAAAATGACCATTTTCCTCTTTACTTTCAGCCTTGGAAGAGTTCTCTCCATCAAGAGCTTAGGTGAGCTTTATCTTCAGAATCCAATTAACCCAAATGATCCAACCAGTGACCCTCTGACGACTGAACTAGTTTTCCTCAATGGCCCAGCTGTGCTTCCAGTGCCTGACCTGGCCCAGTACCTCGCCAGGTGCCGGGACCAGAGAAGGTGCCCAGGGGTCCTGCCAGCCTTTCCATCTCGCCTCCTTCCAGCCCACCCTGCACTCACTCGGCAGATCCTGAGTCTCCAGCGTGTGCCAGCCATTTGCTAATGACTGGAGCTGTGGCAGGGACAGAGGGCTAGCCCCTGGGGAATTCTGGATAGTGGGACAGTCACACAATCAAACAGGCATATGACAATGCCATGATTCCCCAGAAACTTACAATTTCCAAAATGCACTGTGCTGTTTCAAGTCTCTTCGCCTTTGCTCATTTAATTCACTAACTCACCCCAACTTAATGAGGCAAACTTCTACTGACCGTCAAATGTCCCCTCTTATAAGAAGCCTTCCTGATTCCCCTCTTTTAGAGAAAATTAACCAGTCCCGTCCCTTTGGTGCCACTGTAAGGTGCACATATGTTTGCACCAATGTCACTTCATGTCGTTTGTTTGCTCACATGCCAGATCACCCTCACTCTCCTTCCCACCTTGTCTGTGAGCTCCCTGGGGGCAAGGGATTTTTTGTTCTTGGTGTCCCAGCACCTTTCATACTTCCCGGGTCCAGAGCAGCGCTCTCTCCTGCTTCTTCAGAGACTGTGTCACTCTCCCACGCTGTTATTTTTTAAGGCATTAGAATAAACATGGCTGGTGAGCGCTGGACAGCAAGTATCAATATTTCCTGGCTGAGGCTAAAAACAGAAGAGCTGGATCAGGGGGAAAACCCTGCTTCGTCCCCCTCTCTTTGTCTCTTTGTCTCCCTGGAGTTCCTGCCTGACCCTAAATTCATGACCCCATAATGATCCTCCAGCACCGAGCACAGCGCTGGGCACACAGTAGACACATGTCAAATGATTGACTATTTAGTTTAACATTTACTGAGCTTTTTCTCTGTTTAGACACCGCTAGATTCTGAGGAACAGAAATGAATAGAATATATTTCCTACCCTCGGTTCGAGATGGGAGTGGAGGCTGAAGCGGTTGGGGTCGGGGTTACTTGGAGGGGAAGATGACCACATCAATAGGAAATCGCAGTGTGATAGATCACCACTAAGGAAGTTGTAAAACCCAGAGGGGAGACTCCGGGAGGGCTTCCTGGAAGAGGGACAACTAAGCTGAAGCTTGGAAGACCAGGAGGAACTGGGCAGGTGACAACTGTGGAAAGTATGTCGTAGGCACAAGGAAAGATATAGAGCAAGGACACAGAGGGTTAGACAGCAAAGCCAGTGCAGGAACGCACAAACAGTTTGATAATGCTTGAGCATCAAATGCAGTGTGCGAGCAGCAGGAACAGAGCTGGGCAAGTCTGCAGAGCTGGAGCCGGGGGGCCTGAGCGCCCTAATTCATTGCTTAGACCAGCCCTGTCCGACAGAAATACGTGCAAACCACATAAGTCATTTAAAATTTTCTACTAGCCGTATTTTATATTTTAAAAAGTAAAGATAAAGAGGTGAAATTTTAATGAATTTTATTTATCCCTATATATAAAATATTATCATTTCAACATATAATCAATATAAAAATATTACCGAGGTATGTTCTTTTCCTTTTTTAATACCAAGTCCTCAAAATCCAGATATCTTTTACACTTAGAGCTCAATTTGGACCAAACACATTTCAAGCGTTCGATAACCACGTGGCCAGTGGTGACCAAATTGGATGGCACAAATTTAGACGAATTTAGACAAATTTAGCCCAGAAGAGTTTTAAAGCAGAGATAATGTACCCTTCTCCCTCATGGTATTCCTAAAAGTCACAATATTAAATTTAATTTGAGAGTTATGTGTGGAGATCCAGCTGTGTAGAAACTATTGGACAAAGCTTGGGGGATAGGAAAATAGGACACGTACATCAACAAGGCAGGTAAGTGACTTAGGAGAAATATCAGCAATGTGTAATGGGCACATAAGAATTGGGTAATTCTAACACAGCAAATGCTTCAATGAAGAAAAGGGCACCACCAATTATTAAAAGTCCATTACGTGCTACGAGCAATGCTAGGCTTTCAACATTTTAACCACATTTCCTTCCTGGGGCAACCATGGAGATTGGCACTGTGATCTTTCATTTAAATATGAGAAAATTTAAGTTTTAGAAAGGCTAATCTTAGACTTTTAGAAAGAGGTAGAGTGGGGCTTAGAACCCAGCCCTCACTTCGCAGCCCCTGTTCATCACAGAACGAGCATGTGACTTTAATGGTGGGCAAGAGTGCTGAGTAATTGGATGAATGAATGAAATTCCTTCAAACTCTTTCAGAACAGTACTCTCTCCTGGTGTTTCTCCTTCCTTCATGACCGCTCCTTCTGATTTCCTTTGAGGGCTCTTCTTCCTCTGCCTTCCATATAAATGTGGTCATAGAACTATCTAGTTCATTGTTATGCCAGAAACAGAAGTTCTTGTGTGAATGTTGATGCTCCCCAGCATTCTGTCCTTGATCCTTAGGTTTTCATTACACTCTCCCCCTTGTCTCCTTCCACTCCTCCACTGCATCTGTTGTCTCTATACTGGAGCGTGCCAGTCATTCATTTGTTAGGGAACACAGGATGAGTACCCCTCTGTGCCACGCACTGTGCCATTGCTACCATGGATTACACATCATCAGTGCTGAGGATTGCCATATGAATAAGAGAGTTCTGCCACTATAACTTGATTCTTAGTTAGCTGACAAGGCAAAGTGGAGGAACTGGAGACAGATCCACAGACGATGCGTTATAACACGAGTAGAAGAAGAACATGTTAGGGAGCCGATAAGAAGGTTTGACTGCTTGGGAGAAGCAGGGAAGGACTCTCAGAGGTAAGATGATTTAGACAAATCGAGAAGACTGTTGTGTTTTCCAGCAATATAACATGTGGAAGGCATGTCGGACAAAGGAAATGGCAAATAAAAAGGGAGAGATGCTCAAAATAGGATGGTAGGTTTGGGGAATTACGAGAGTCTAGACTATAGCAAAAGTGGAGGGAAGGAGCAGAGGGAGACGGGGTTGGAAAGAAAGGCAGGGCCAGCCCATGATAGGACTGACATTTCGTCCTACAGGCAAGGGGGAGTTATTAGGAGCCTTAAGCAGGAACTGATGCTCTGACATTGACTGGAACAGCTGGAAACTCAGGGAAACTATCCATGTGGTCCCCTTATCTTTTTTCTTTTTTAAAGGATTCATGACTACTTAACTTTATTTTCCCTATTCACTTCATTTAGGATTGAATGGTGCAGTGTCATCTAAACACTCTAAGCTTAACTCTTTCCCTGGTATCTCTTCACATTTCAGCCCGAAATATGAAGATGAAGATAAAAACACGAAGGAAAAGGAGCCATGTGAATTGGAATCTCATAAATCAGAAAAGGACCCACCTTCAAACCATCTTGTCAAGGTATCTGTGTTCCAGGATTCTGAACCAAACAGTGCAGTTCAGACATGTGAGAGGATCAGTTCATGGGTGACTTTTCAAAGGCTGAGCTGTGCAGCTGTGCACACAGTCAGGAGATGCCGTGGTGTTGGGCATTTCGCCAAAGCAATGAACGTGACAATAGCACTGAGCCCTAGGCTCAGATTTTCTACTTATCAGTCGTGAATCAGGGCTGGGACTAGTGTGAGTTCAGCAAGGCACCCTGGGGCAAAATATCAAGAGATACTCACTCAGCTCCTTAACTGCTGTGCTCTGAGGCCCTGCTTAGAAGAGTGACTTAGTCTCTGAGCCCAGTCATCTCATCTGTGAGGAGAGAGTAATGATCCCCACCCAACTACCATCCCCACACCTATCCTCCACCATGAAATAATGTACATTAAAGTGCTTTGTAAGCCATAAGCTACTATAAAAATGAAATGTGGTGTTGATTTTCTTAATAGTAAACACTGTATATGTGTTGTATCCATCTCCAATGGACACTGTCCCCTTCAACACAGTTAAAGTGGTCAGATGCTTGACAGTGGAGACTACCGGGGTTACCGCCAGTGCTCAAAACATTCTAGAAACCTGTTTGAGATAAGCCTTATGTTATAGTATCAAGTTGTTGCAGTGCTGTCCGCAGGGCTGGGGTGAGTCACACAGCGTGTTGGTGGCGTGAACCGGAACTGGTGTGTAGGCTCAGAGGCCAGGCTGGGCCAGGTTGGGTTTTTACAGAGTATCACAAAGCAGTATAATTCAAAGATGAAGTAAGTCACTAATTAAGAAAGACAGGGACCAGAGCCAGGGAAGCAGCACTGGGTGTCAAGGTCAGAAGCAGGGGCAAGGCCATAAATGGGTGATGAGGCCAGAGATCAGGAAGGGGTTAATCAGGAACATATGAGAAAGACAGGAGAGGAGCACCATTAAGGATATCGACCATGAAAGAGCAAAAGCGGTTTTCAGTGCTGGCTATATGACAAGAGCCAGGTATGGGATCAGGCTACCACCAAAGGGACGTGTTCCTACTTTCATGGAGTGGGTTGGAGTTTTGGAAATTGTTGAAAGTTATGTAGACTATGTTAGGTGAATGTGGTGGGTGGTCTAGCTGGGCAGTACTCTTTGGGGTCAAATATAAATTATAAGTAAGTAGATACATAATCCATTGTGACTCAAACTGACTCTAGAGACCATTCCCAAGGACAGCCCTCAGAGAAGCCGGGTACTGCTTCCATCGGGGCTGCACTGAAGGAAGGCAGTCACCATGCTTGTGTGAAACATTGACTTCATTACTTTCTTGTCATTTTTCCCAATTTAAAAAACTCATTCTTGGCTGTGTAACTTAAAAGTAGGCCCCTCCTTTTGTTCTCCTCTGAGTTTGTGTAGCTCCCACCCAGAACTCGGGATAGGCCATGCCTTATAACTGTCAATTCCTTTAGCTTTTTCCAAGTACTTCCCAATGTATCATCACAGTCAACCCTCACGCCCACTCTGTGGCAGAGGAAAGGACAGTAGCCCTCTCTCTCGTTCTCATCTGAGAATTAGAAGACACTTAGGCGGCCAGAAACGTTCTACTTCTTCTCTCTGTCCAGTGTCTCCTCATGTCAGTCTACCCAGATCTTTCCAAAATGCAAATCTGATCAGGTTTCTCTGCTGCCTGACTCCCCGTGATTATGAGATAAAGCCCACACCCTTTGCCTTGCATGCAAGACCCCCCGTAACTCAGCCCCTTCCATCTCCCCTTTTCAGCCCATCCCCAGTCTTCCTCCCCCTATCTCTTCCCCCGTTCTCTTCAGTGCTTCCCTCCTCCGCAGCCTCCATGCTGCCCTTTCAAGGACACTAATAGCCAGGCCTTTGCCCATGCTGATTTATCTGCCAGGTAGTCCTTTATCCTCTCTATCAATCTCTTGCTTACAGTTTAAGGTACAGTTTAATAAAAGTTGCTTTTGAAGTCTTCCCCCACTCTGTCTCTAGCTAAGAGAACTGACCTCCCCTCCTCTCTGTTTCCATCTCAGTGAGCAGTACTTCCATAAGTAACACTGGGCACATTATACCTTCGTTAATTGTGTGTATTGTCTCCATGACCAGCGGGTAAGCCACCATGTCCATTGCATCTCTCTATGTCCAGAGCTTAGCATGTTGCCTCACCCTTAGTAAGCGTTTGACAAATGCTGGGGAGAGGGAGTGTGGAAAGGCGTGAGAAGAAACAGAAGAATGGCAGGTAGAGAGATGAAATGTCAGGCAAAAGGAACACAGCATCCCTTAGTGGTCAAGAGCACAGGGTTCTGGGGTCAAGTCCTGCCTCAGTAGAATACTAGCTGTGGGACCAGAGGCCAAGTAATTTAACCTTTCTAAACCCTTTATCAAGACGACTAATGATATTTTCATAACGAAGAATCACGAAGATTAAGTGAGATAGAATGTACAAAGAGCCCGCCCGGTAGTCAGTGCTCCATTAATATCCTGACTGCCGACTGTGAGCCAGCCTCTGTGCCGGGCATTCACTGGCCATTCACAGGTGAACAAAAGATGTGGTGCACAGCATCAAATAAAATAATAAGTAAGTGTTATCCATGAGGAATGAATGAATGAAGAACAGCCTAAGTAAGCAGAGAACTGAAAGGATGTCATCGGAGCCCCTCAACTCTCTCCCTGTTGCATGTGTTTAGGTGGGTGCCCATGACGGCACACCTGGAAAAGTCCAGGTGATGAAAGTCCACAGCGGTAAAAGGAACGTGCAGGCTGGGAAGCAGGACGCTGTAATTGACGTCATCCAGACACAGGCCTGTCCCGAGGACCCGAAGCTGGCCAGGCTCTCGCAAGACCACGGTAAGTTCATTTCTTTCTGGTTCCTTCACCATCACCAAATTATTTTAAAGCTGTGCATGTCCAAGACTTTCTTTGATAAATATTTATTGAATACCTATTATGTACAGAGTAACTTGCACCAGTGAGCCAGCTGTGCAGTAGTCGAAAGAGCACTCGATTAACAAGCAGAAGGCCTGAGCTCGAAACTAGGCTCTAATGCTTATCAGCTGTGTGGTGAATAGCTTCATATTCCTTCAGCTTAATTTCTTCATTTCTAAAAAGGGACCATAACGTGGACCTCACAGGAGTTTTATGAGGACCAAATCTGACAGTATGTCACGTAACAGGCACTTGGCAAATGTTTATTCCTTTCTCTTTCTATCTACCAGCTCCTGTTGTCTTTTGTAGGCCCAAGTAATTGACACACTGATGATATGACATGATATCGTTAGTTGACTTTATTCAGGTTGCATTTTACCTTCATGTTAGTCAAGACTCTTGATTGTAAACAGTTATCAAGTCATACTAGGTTAAGCAAAAAGAGAAAAGAAGACTCGCCTAGCAGAACATCTCAGCTTGGCTGGATTCAGGGACACAAACAATGTCACAAGGGCTCAGTATCACTTTTCCCACTCCTGCCTTTGCTCCCCTCTGGGTTGGCTCCATTGTCAGACAAATTCTCCGCTTGTGGAGGTAGGATGGCATCTAGCAGTGACAGGCTCACACCCTATCCTCTTAGGAACCCCAGAGGAAAACTAGACCTTGTTATCATCTCCCAAGTTAGAAGAAAAAGCCCAGCTCTGAGTCCTATTGGCCCTGGTTGCATCACATGTCACCCCTGAACCAGCCGTGAACTGGGGCTCGGCTGCTTTGATTGACTCATCCTGTGCCATAAACTCACCCCTGGAACTGGGGGCAGAGTCAGTTCTACCACAACTACATAACATCAGATTCAAGGGTTTCCCAAGGAAAATAAGAGGGCTGCTATCAAAAAAAAAATAGACACTAGGTAGATAAAACAGATGTCCCCTCCAACCCAATAATCTATGGTAAGCCACTGATGTTTCCTAAAGTGTTGGAATCAGAGTTATTGGAAGAATAAATTTGCAGCAATCATAAGATGGACTCAAGGCCCCTTAAAATCTGCCTCCAGGCTAGCTGGCCTCATCCCTGGCACATGCCTCCTTTCCTGCGTACTCTCCGCTCTGTTCTCACCTTACTGTGTTATGTGCTTAAACGGCCCTAGAATTTTGCTCAGTCTCTTTCTTCTGTCTGCAGTGCCGTCATGCTCATTCTCTACCTGCTGATGCCCTTTTCATCCTTCAAGATCTATCTTGAAAGTCGCTTCCTCTAAGGCCTCCCTTTCCTTAGTCTGTCCTCTTCTTTCCCGCTCTCCAAGGACCATAATTCCTCACTTCTCCCTGTTTCCTTGACACTTACACAGCAACTGAATGAGCACGTTTCCATCCTGGGCTTTGGAGCCAAGCATTTCTGGGACCCAAGACCACTGTACACTAATCCCGTAATCTTGGAAAACTTGCTTACTTTCATGTGCAAATGAGGACGCTACTACTTATTTCCCAGGAATGGTTGTCACTGGGTATAAAGTGTCTGGTTTGTAGGCTAAATAATTGTTAGCTCTCTTCAGTTATTTTTTTTCTGAAAGATTAGAGCATGCCTTACATTATAATTCATGATGTACGTGTTTGTCTCCCATGGTATACTGTAAGCACCTTGAGATCAGAGACCATTGGTGTTCTCTCTGTGTCTCTGTGACCTGGCACAGTGTCTGGCACACTGGAGACACCCAAGAAAACTTTAGTGAGTGAAGGAATGAAAGAATAAATCGAACTTCAGTTTCTGAGAGTGTAGTGGATTAGACAATCTGAATGATTCACAGAAAGAAGTAAAGTGAAGAATAAAGGTTTTTTTTAAGATATAAAAGTATCACATAACTGATATAAAAAGAAAGCATGCACACGCCTACAGTAACCAGGAAGCCTGGGAGGTGAGAACCAAAGCTACTTTTGTCGTGAGGGTTTTGAATGAATCCCCCGGCTCCTGTTTTGACTGCGTGGAATGCAGAGGACAGGAGCTCTATCCCGGGGCTGCCCAAAGTGAGTTTATAATGGGAGACTCCTGTATAAAATTGGGGCTCCAAAGGGCTACACTTTAAGAACAAACAAGACTGTGCCTGTAGTTAACAATACTGTATCGTGTACTTATAAATTTGTTAAGAGGGTAGATCTCGTGTGTTCCCACCACAATAAAAGAAATATTTTTTAATTAAAAAAAATATAGGAAAAGAAAGACATTTCTGATGAAGTGAATGACACATGAGAAAGCACAGAGGTAACATTAATTTAAAAACCATGCTTTAAGATGAGAAGTGGATAGAATTATTAGGAGTAAAGAAAAAAATAGCCAGCCCTGGTGGTGTAGTGGTTAAGATTCAGCGCTCTCACTGCCACAGCCCAGGTTCGTTTCCTGATCAGGGAACCACACCACCCTGCTGTCGGTTGTCATACTGTGGCAGCTGCATTTTGTTGTGATGCTGAAAGCTATGCCACCAGTATTTCAATACCAGTAGTGGTGGATGGGTTTCACCAGAGCTTCCAGACCAAGACAGTCTAGGAAAAGAGACCTGACCACTGAATTCCAAAAAACTGGCCATGAAAACCCTAAGAAGAGCAGCAGAGTATTGTCTGATATAGCATCAGAAGATGAGATGATGGCACAAAAGACCAGGCAGCATTCTGCCTTACTGCACACATGGTCACTAGGAATCAGAATCAATTTGACAGCACTCGAAAAGAAAAAGAATGGAAAGGAGGAAAACAAGTTGAAGTGAACAAAAGAGTTAAAGGACATCCCTGAATATGAGGCTGAGAACCATTGTCATGCAGTTATGTACTGTCCATGAGGAGTCACTACAGATTTGGAAATTATACCATGAGGGAAAGAGTTGGAAGAAGATTATTCTGAGTCATCTGTACATATTGCTAAAGCACAAGGGAGTTGCTGAACTCATTGATAAGTCTTTGGAATACTTATGATGAGTAGCACAAAATGCTTAGTCAAAGGGAGTGGGCTTGAAAACAGAGGAAAATTTTGAGGAAAAAAATACAATTGAATGTTTTTCTATACTCCTTTTATTCAGGTAGGCCTCTTGAAAAAATGAACAAAGTCAAAAGTATTGCTTCTTTTGATTGAAACAAAAAGAGAATTAGTAAGACATAAACCCCACTGAGCAAAGGAAATTTGCCCATTTTGACCCTGGTGCTGGGCGAAGGAAAAAGAATCTCTTACCACAAGCTCATCTTCATGCACATCTTCAGTTCAAATTCACGTTATCTGTGTGGTCCAAAAGAAACCCAAATGAATCTAAAGTGGTATCAGCTTGGTAGCCCTTCTAGACAACTGGTAGAAACAAACATAAATCCTCTTTAATGGAGCCTTCTTTTATTCCCAGGTTTCAAATAATTCCCAAAAAAAATTCTTTAAAAAATTAACAGTTCATAGACAATAACTAAACATGCAAGAAAACAAGTCACAGTAAGTGAAACAAGCAGGACAACAGACAAAAGAAACCAATTTGCAAGATACTACAGAAATGGAATTATCAGACACAAAACAAGATAAGCATATTTAATATGCTTTAAAAATAAAAGAATAAACAGATTTGAAAAATGCAAAAAATAATCATTGATCAGTTGATAGAGAAATCCAGTGAATGAATTACACATCAGATTAGACACAGCTGAAGAGGAAATTAGTGAACTAGAAGATAAAATCTAGAGAAATTATCCAAAATTCATTCCACAAAGGAAATGATAGAAAAGAATGAGAGGATAAGAGTCATGGAGAAGAGAATGAGAAGCCTTAAAATAACATCAAATCAGGGTTCTATAAAAGGACACTAGAAAGAATGGGAAAGAAGAAAAAGTAGGTAAAAGAGATAATGCCTGATAATCTTCCAGGATTGTTAAAAAGATATCCATTTGCAGATCCATGAACACTAAAGTTCTCTAGCAGGAAAAAATAAAAGAAATCCACACCAAGCCATATCTTAAAGAAACTGAAGAACATCAAAGAACAAGAGAATACCTTAAAGTATCTTAAAGGAGATAAAGGGAAAAGACCAATGGCCCAAAAAGAAAAAAGAAGAAATAGAGAATTTTGGATGCAAGAAAGATATCTGAGCAAAGTATCAACTGAATAAAACAATAATAATGTCAGGTTGAGGGAAAGGGAACTAAAATATTGAACAGTAATAGTAAATACATTGGGAAGGTGATCAAAGTTCAAGTATTCCAAAGTTTTTAATGGAAAGTAACAACATTAATTCATTTTAGCCTTAAAAGACAGAATAGCTAGGGTATATGCAACAAAAGATACCATTAAAAGAGTGAAAAGGCAAGTCACAGAGTATATATATATATATATATATCTTACATATATGCACATATATATATCTATTTGACAAAGGACTCATATATGAAATACAGAAATCTTCTATAAACATCCTTGTATCCAGAAAATATAAAATAGAAATAAATCATTAAAAAAATAAATTTAGAGAAATTGGGAAAATATTTGAACAGGCACATTACCAAAGAGGATAGTCAAAAGGCAAATACGTTATGAAAAACTGTGCAACTTCATTAAGTTTCAGGGAAATGCAAATGAAACCTGCAATGCGATATCACTACATGCCCACCAAAATGGCTAAAATAAAAAGACTAAAAATATCAAGTGTTAGTGAAGTTATGGAACAACTAGAACTTTCCTACACTGTTGGGACTGAAAATTAGGATAATCACTTTGGAAAACTGGCAATACCTGTTAAAGCCCAAGATATGCGTAGCCTCTGGCCTAGCAATTCCATGCCTGTTCTTATACCCAATAGAAATGCAGACTTCAGTTTACTAAGACTTATACAAGGTGTTCAGAGCATAACTTTTTATAATAGCCTCAACTGGAAACTGTCCAACTAGCCATCAAAAGTGGAATGGATAAATAAATTGTTGTATATTCACACCATGGAATACATAGTCATGGGAATGACCGAATTATAACTATACACAACAATATAGATGAATCTCACAAAAATAATATTGAACGAAAGTAGGCGACACCAAAGAGCACATTCTGAATGATTCCATTAACATAAAGTTCAAAAACAAGCAGAATTTACCTTTGGTATTAGAAGTTGATAGTGGTGACCCTTGTGGGAGGGAATAGTGACCAGAAGAGAGCACAAGATGGGAGCTCTGGGACACTGGCAATGTTACATTTTTTGATCTATGTGCTGTGTACATGAATATGTTCAATATGGGAAATTCATTGAGGTGTACTCTAATGATTTGTGCCCTTTCCTGTATCCAGTCATGCGTTGCTTAACAACGGGCATGCGTTCTGAGAAATGCATTGTTAGGTAATTGCGTCGTTGTGTGAACAACATAGAGAGTACTTACACAAACCTAGATGGGACAGCCTACCACACACCTAGGCTGCATGGTACTAATCTTATGGGACCACCATTGCATATGTGGTCCGTCGTTGACCAAAACATCATTATGCAACACGACTATATTATACTTTAATTAAAACTTAAAACATAGTATGGTAACTGTTACAATACAGATATAGCACATATAGCTTCTAAAGAAATAGAAATGAAAAAACAGAATGAAGAAAAGAGAAGAAACCTCAGTCAATCAAGAAAGAAGAATATGGGGAAGAAATAGAACAAATAAAAAGTATGTAATAAGATATAAATTTTAAAATAACAGTAAACACTATAAATTTAATATGTGAAACTCTCTAGTTAGAAGACATATGCATTCAAATCATTCAATATTAAAAAATATTTGAGTGCCTTTTACATGCCCAGCACTGTTCTAGGCGCTGAGAATACAGCAGTAAACAAGAGACAAAAATTCCTGTCCTCAGGGAGGTTACATTCTGATCAGAGGAGACAGATAATAAATACATAAGCAATAAAGATCCACTATGTGGGATGTAGCAAATGTTATGGAAAGAAAACAAAGCAAAGAAAGAGAATTAGGGAAACAGGTGGCGGTAGTGGAAGTTGCAGTGTTAAAGTGCTCATAGATGACCTCAAAGAGCCAAAGTAGATGAGCAAGAGAGCCAAGTGTGTATCTAGGGTAAGAATGTTCTAGAGAAGAGGAAAAGGAAGGCAAATATACTCTGAGGCAAGAGCCTGCTAGATGTGTTGGTGGAAGAGTAGGGAGGCCAGTGTAGCTGGCGCAGAGTGACTGAGGGAGAGTGTAGTAGGAGAGGAGGTCAGAGAGATAACAGGGACCAGGGAGTGGAGGGGCTTTTGTAGACCATTGCAAGATCTTTGGCATTTATGCTAAATGAGATTTTTTAAACCAATGAAAGTTTTTAAGCACAAGAACAGAATGATCTGACTTGCATTTTAAAGAATCATCCTGGCTGCTGTCTTGACAGAAGCATGTAGAAGAATAAATCAGGGCCCTGGTAGGAGTGTGTTACAATAATTTAGGTGAGAGGTGATGGTGTCTTGGAGGAGGGCACGGTGGTAGAGTTGTTGAGATGTGTTTGGACTCACGATATAATTTGAAAGTAGAGCTGACCCATGGCTGTGGATTGGAAGTGGGATAGGAGAGAGAGGGGTGTCAAGGTTTTGGACCTGAGTAACTGAAAGGATGGGTTGGCACTTTTTCTTGAGGTGGGGCAGACTTCAGGAAGAGCAAATACACAGAGAGAAACGATGAGTTTGTTTTGGAACATAATATGTTTAGACAACCACGTGGAAATCGTGTGAAGGCTGATGGAGTATCTAGAATTCATGAGAGAGGTGTAAGCTAGAGATGTAAATTTGGGAGTTGTCTGTGTTTTTAAATTGAAGCCATAAACTTTTACATTGGCTTCAGCCAAAAGGAAGGATAAAGAAAGAAAAAAGTTGTCCCAAAATAAAAATTAAGCAACTGTGTTCAGCGTCTTTGTTTTGTGCTGGAGAAATTTACTAATAAGCCTGTAAGAAACAGCAGGACCTCGACGCCTCTAGGAGCTGACATTCATTGAGACAGTTTGGGGCCCGTATGCTAGTTGACTTCTTGTCAGGGGATAAAACATTGTTGCTTGGTTCATTTAACAGACAAGTCAATTTGCTTATTGTTTATTTCTCAGATATATTACTTATTTCTGATTAATAGTTCGTGTCTGAAAATAGGTCTGAATCACCCATACTCCAAATGTTAACCTATTCCAACTGATAAAAAAGTGGCAGTTTTATGGTTATGACAAGTTTACAGCTCTGCAAATAAACCAGCACGTGTATTTAACAGGCTAGCTACTTGTGCAAACAATCCCTATCCATTTTTCAACCTGGCACACTATCTTCTGGCTAATTCCATCACTGGTGAATCATAAAGGTTGACATGTGCTCAATAAACTTGTCTAAGAGTTGTACTTTAAGAAAAAATACCACAAAACTGGATAATGTCATCTGGATGTAGGGCGAGAAGCCCCAGGCTGTGCACTGGAGGCCTTCACAGTTGAGGTCAGGGATCAGAGGAAGAAGAACCATCAAAGAAGAGGGGAGAGCTACTGGTTTACCGGGTAACTAGCACCCTTCCTGAAAATGTGTCCATGCTCACCACAGTCACGTGAGAGCAGGTGTCACTATCATTATCCCAGCTTCAGAGAATCATAACGGGCTCTGCAGGGTGAAGTGCTTTGCCAGACGGCCACACGTACCAAGATTATAATCCAGTTTTAGCACATTTAATCTGCCTTTTCACTACCTCCATTGCCAATGATGTGTGCGAATGCATTTATAGTAGCTGTTGGTGAGATATTCTTCAGGGGCTTCTCTGTTTTCCTTACAGGTGGGTATGTGGAGGCCTTGGAGGTGACTAAAGAAATCCCAGGCCAAGGAGCCTTTCAGCCAAATTCCATCTCAGAGGAGATTTACGATGATGTTGAGTACCCTGGGAGAGAGGGGTAAGCACATTCCAGCCCTTCAGCAAGACGAATGTGATGAGATTTTAAAGGTGCAACAGGGTGACGGTCTTCGTATCTTTCCTCCCCACAGACCGAAGTCAGACTTTGCTAACTCGTTTGCCTCAGATAATGGTAAGTATAGGAAGACATCTGAAACTGTCAGTAGGAGTTTTTGTGGCTGATTAGTGATAAGGCATCTTTTGTATATACATATTTTAATAATACCGATTGGGTAGGGTGAATGTGAGCTAATGCAAGAGGTCCGGGTATGTGCTGATAAATGCATTTAGAATCATGACGGTGAAGATGCTGCTAAGTGGGGGCACTCCTGTGGCATAAAAACAACTTCACTGTGCAATTACTTCCTTCCTGATCTCTTCACAATGCAAGTCTGATTAGAGGAATGCTTTTTCCTTAAAACACTTTCATGGCTTCCCAGTGCTTTTAAGATGGCCCTTACATGCTCTAGAGGCTTGAGAGTTTTGCCCCTAGCTGCCTCTGCAACCTCTTCTCACACTCTACTCAATCCGCATCTTTGAGATCCAGTTGAGCTGACCACCTTTTAGCTTCTCTGACTTGCTTGTCACAGTGTAATCTTCTACTTGTGTGATTCTTTGATTAATAACTGTCATCCCTCCTAGATGGTTACCTTCTTTATGTTTACCATTTTCCCCAGCCCCTCGCATAATGCCAGGCACATGTTAGATATTCCAAAAAATATTTGTTGAGTGAATGAATAAAAAGGCAATGGAGGAGGGATAATCAAATGCTACTCTGGTTATTTTTGTCCTTCTTAGCATGTCAGAATTTTTGACGGTAAAACAATCTTAAAGATCATTAAACACAGTATGCTCATTTCAGAAAGGAAACTGAGGCACAGAGAAGTGACTCTCCTAAGCTCACTGTGTGTGATTCAAGTTCTGAACTTGAAAATCTTTCATTGCCAGAGTAGACTCAAAGTATGTCTGTGTTGGGCTATATATATATATATACGGGGGTGTGTGTGTGTGTGTGTGTGTGTGTGTATGTGTGTGTGTCCGACTCCGCTAAAGCCACGCTATGAAGGGAAAGATTACTGAAGATGTGTCTAGGTCTCCATTCCTTCCCCAGCATTCAGCACCACGTCTGACGTTCAGTAGACTTCGATGGTTCCGTATTAAATATGCAAAGGGGGAGGGTAGAAGGAAGGAATTTGTTGATAAACGAACTTTCTTTGATTAAAACTGATCAGTCTTGGAATCAGGGGTGGAAACAAATATTAATTTTCATTTGTACATATTTTTATGGAGGTTAGTTATTTTTACCATATGCTCGTAAAAACCTGTGCATGTGTTTCAATAAAAACTACTTAACAGAAAAAGATCAAAGTACCTAGTACCTGGTAGGTATCCAATAATTTTTTTGTTAAATATAAATCCGAATTATTGCCATTATAATGAATGAAAATACTTTTTTTAAATTTCAGAAGAAAATACTTTTTTTTTTAATTTTCAGAAGAAAATAGTGAAGAAACGTATGAAGATATCTACAAAGCAAAGAGCAACTACTCAAAGATAGAGTGAGTTTCTCTCTTTCTTGGCTTCATAGTCAATGCTACTTCCTGTTAGTCTAGGAGATTACGAAGGCTCCCCTTCCTGCCCCACCATGTATAGGGAGGATTTGCACAGAGATAGGGGTGATAAGCCATTGTAATACTGCCTGTGACCAACAGGATACCTGTAATTGTGTACAATCTTACGCTATAATTTTTAATCACGTTGCTTTCTCTTTTGAGAAATGTCCATCTCCCAGAGCAGAGGACTTTGATATTGTCTTTGGGAATAAGTGAGAAAGGAGAGGTAAATATCAATAACATGCTTCAATTCTGTACGTGCTTTTTCAGGAAGAAGTCAGTGGTTATGACTTACCTGTGTCTTTGCAAGTTAATAAGACTGTCACTGGGATTTGGGCTTAATTTAATATCTAACAATTCAGTGTTATCAAGAATAATATTTGTTCAAACGGGTATTGTTCATCAAGTTTAGTTATGAGGGCACATTATGGAAAGGAAACAGCTATGGTCAAAAGCAAAAAGTTCGAGGGCTGAAGGCAAAAGAGGGGATCAATGCTGGTTGGGATGGTGTGGGTGTATCATTCTCTCTCCTTACCCCACTAAAAAACCCAAGAGCATATTTGGAAGAATTTAAATCATCAACTGGACAGTCAATGTACCACCCTTGTTGTATTATCATTCTGTAAGTTAAAAAATCACTGACGTGAATTTCAGAAGCCAGGAATTCTTATAATGCATTTCTAGTATATTTTGTACACTATGCTTCCCTGAAGCATCTTCTCTAAAAAGAAGACTTTGCACCCTAAAGTAGAGACCATTTGGAGTAGATGAAAGTTTGTATTGAAATATAATAATTCCCTTCATAGCTGACTGCTGTGTGCTACTTCATGTCGGCTTCTAAACAAAGAAGACGCGCACAGGAGTTGAGAAGGCGTTTTCTTGCTCTTGCTTGAGTGGGCTGTGTTTTGGAAATGAGACTGAAGCCTCTGGTCCTTTTGACTACAATAATCCTCCATCTCTAGCACTCTCTCAAACGCCATGTTATTTATATCCTCTGATTTCTCTTAGTTTAGATGGAAAAGAAGCTCTTAAGAGACTGCAAAGATTTTTCAAGAAAGAAAAGAATAAATTTAAAATGAGGAAAACCAAGTCGAAAGAAAATTTAAGGTAAAAAGTCCTTTTTTATCTCTGTTTCCAGGAGAGAATTAGCAGCCTCGGCCTGGTACTTAGACAGCTTGATGCTCTCCATCCTCTTCCCAGAAACAGTGAAGGGATATCAGAAACCAGAACCCAAGGCCCTGGTTATCACCTATTCCTTCTTGCCAGTTTTTGAGTGAACCAAACCCACAGATACAATGAGAAAGTGACAATGTCCCTTTTGAAAAAATTGAAGAGAAAAGGTTGTAAACAAGGGTAGAGGGAGAGTCTTAATCAAGCAAAGTCGAAAAAGGAAACTTTCCTCATTACCCTTGGCATATATTCCTGTTGACATGACTCAGCATTATGATATTAATTATGTCCCTTTATGCTTTCTTAGCCCTACAAGTTCCAGTGGTTTTATCTGTCTACACTTCCATATTCTAATTTGCCCCTCTTGAGGAGGCAATGTGTGGAGAGGGGAGATGAACATTTCAGCTGAATGGTCTGTGTATCTCAAAGTCTTAGACCTGGAAAGGACCCTCCAAGATCACCCCGGCTAATTAGCAATGTTTGGGAAGGTTACAAATTCACTGGGAGTAGAAAGAGGCGGGAGACCTACATTCTGACTTCTGGTTTCAGTCCTTCCGTTTGCTCGCGTGCAGCCGTGGACAGATCACTTCCTTTCGCACCTGCAGGGCTCAGGTTTCCTTTTGCACGCAGTGAGGGGGAGACTGGCGGGGGGTGTCTGGAGGCCCTTTTCTCTCTAATCTACGGAGATATAGAGATAGAGACAGAGAGCTGTGTTTGATGAGGGTAGGAGACGGTAAAATAATTTGCCCAAAGTCATTACATATATTGACAAGGAATTCTGTTATTCTGCCTTGAAGTTCTTTTCAATGATAAAACCTCAAAGTTATGTGATGGTAAGTCTAGTTGTCTGTTGGATTTAGATCCACCAAGAGACCGAACAGAATATGGGGTTTATCGATTGTAGTCCCGACCACGGAAGAGGAGTGAGTTTAGCTCCAGTGGTCACTGAGACCCGAGGGCTGACCCAGCCTTAGCAGGTCAGATGCTTCTGACAAAAATTATTAGCGTGATCCCGGCAGTCCCTTAAATTGCATCTAGGTAAGATGCCGATGTTTTCAAATGCATTTCCTTTCCTGATCTCCTTTTTCCTAGAACTATTCAGTGACTCCTTATGACTTTTAGAGAAAATATCCAACCCCCTTCCATGGCAAGTAAATACTTTTATGGCGTCCCCCTTCCTACTTGTCCAGCTCCATACCTCACTGAAATTTACTCTCACCACCACCCCATACACACATCCTATGGATCTGACTCTGCCGTGCTGTTTCGTGCCTCCCTGCTTTTAACCGTGACATTCCCTTGGTCTGGAACGCACTGCCCTCCTCCAACCTCCTTTGATTATGGAAGTTCTGTTCTTCTCTTAAAATTAGGTCAAACATACCCCTTCTGGCCCACCTTCCCTGATTCCCTGATTCCCAAACCTGGATTACTTGTCTTTCTTCTGTGTTCCCCTAACATCCTGTGCACATCTTGTAACATCTATTAATACTACTGAGAAACCCTTTTTCTTAGAGCAGAGACCCTCAGGGTAAGAGGAGACGTCCACATTCCCAAGTCCGACCCGCTGCACAAGCTGCCCTGCGCGCGGCCCGCCAGCCGAGCCGCCGTGCTTGCACACCTCTGTGAAGGAGCAGTGCACAACCCGCAGAGAGGGATCTTCCATCTTTACAAAGGTCTATTAAGATTTTTTCCCTTTCACATTGCCAAAATCTGCCTCTCTACTTTAATTTTTCAATTAATAGCATGTAGATATGCCAAGGTGATACAGAATTTTATTTATTTACTTGTTTGCTTCCCTTTGCCGAGCCTTTTGGCTGAGGCTCCTCCGCTGAAGACCAGCTCTTAGGTTACTGCCTCATCTTCAGAAGGAGGTTGCACCCATGCAAATGTGGCATTTAAAAAGAGTACAGACTCCCAATCTTTTCTCGCCCTGCCCCCACTGCCTTTTAGGATCGTCATTAGTAAATTGCCTGATGGAGGCATAAATAAACCAACAATGAAATGCCACCAGCCTTAGCTATGCTGTGAGTTTTACACGGGAATTAAATGGTAAACCTCTTCTCACTCCCTCTGTTCCATATGCACTGTCTTCCTTGCTCTTCTTTAAACGGCCAAGCCCACCTTGGCTTGAGGTCTCCGTATCTGCTGTTCTCTCTCCGGGGAATGCGCTTCCCCAGATATCCGTGTGGCTCCCTCCCTCCCTGCCTCCCTACAAGTCTCTGCTCAAAAGGCCCCTTATCAGTGCAGTCTTCCCTGACAATCTTCTGAAAAATGGCAAACCAACCCTCACCTCCAGCCCGTCTGTCCCCATACCCTGCTCTATTTTTCTCAGTTGCACCTATCTCCATACATTTCCCTACTGACAGAACACAAATTTCCTGTTTTCTGTCTGCCTCACTCTACTAGAATCCATGAGGGCAGGGATTGTGACTGTTTTTTCCACTGCTGTATCTCCAATGAAGAACAGTGCCTGGGACATGACAGACACTCGATAAATACCTGCTGAATGAATAAATGACCTAAAGGAAGGAAATATCACAATAGATTTTTTGTGACCTTGGTTTCTATGTTTAAATAGGAGCTACCAGCACTCTGATCCAATTAAACAAGAGGAAGGGAACTGATGTTAGGAAAGGCTTCCTCGAGCAAGGGACCCTTGAGTGGAGATGCCCAGGATATGTGCTAATAGGCGTGGGGGGCAGCAAGTGCACTAAGTGCTTCCCACGTGCTCTCTCTAATCCTCACAATGACCCGTGAGATGGAAACTTGTTTCTCCATTTCATAGATGGAAGGCTTTGAAAAGTTGAGTCTTGCCCAAGGAAGTAGATAAGTGGCAGAACAGAGAGTCCATTCCAGCTGTCTCTGACTCCAGTGACCATGTTCTTCTTGCCCCCTATCCTGCATGCCACATCCTGACAGCATCCAGTCTGGTCTTACAGACATACAGCAGGGCTCCCTGAGCATCACAGTGTCCCAGGCACATGCACCGAGGTACGCTCACCCAACACAAGGGTAACTCTATAGGCTAGGTGCTGGGATTCTTTAGAAATGAGGGGCTGAGGCTCACAGGACGGTTAGCTGAGCTTCCTGGAGGCGCTGTGCCTTAGGACACTCCTTTATGGTGTTCTTATCAGAGGGTTGTGTTAATTTACTTTTGGTCTCCGTCACTATGCCCAAGCTACTTCAGGACAGAAACTGTGTCTGATCATTTTGTTTACCCAGCACCTGGGCCTGGCCCGTTGTGAGTGTCCCCAGTATACCTGTAGGACTGAACTGAAATTAGTTGCTTAAAATACGTGGATTTTTTTTCTACCGCATCATACTTCCTCACATGTGATCTCCTTAACTGTGAGATTGAGGAGAACCAAACAATCTACCTGAGCCAGACATCCTTTCCCATTTAGCGATGCATCATCTTCCATTTCCGCCTCGCCTGGAATTCTCCCCTCAAGTCATCCCTTTGGCTTAAACATACACACAGTTAGGGTCCAGAGTCTCCAGGGAATTGTTCTCTCTCTCCACACTTATCCCACATCGGATGGATCTAATGGCATCTCGGAAGGTTAGAAGGCAGAGACAGAATCCTGTGGATGGAGAAGAGCAGGGCTGTGGGACAGCCTGAGGTTGTCTAGTCAGGAAGCGGGCACAGGTGATCACTGGGGACTACTAAGCTCATTTTCAAAAGATGGGGGGGTGGTCAGAACAAAGCTGCAGGAAAGGTTTGCTCCACATCTTCGCCTAGAAACATCTGTATCAAGAAACCCAGTCTTCAATGTTATTATTTGAGATGTATCAGCTAACTTTTCTGAACACAGCTTTTGGCCTTAACCCTTTTGTGTCTTCTCTCAATCAACAGTGCGTTTTCCATTTCGCTGCCTGATTTAGGTAAGTGACATTTGCTTTTGCTGACACAAAACTACTCAGCATTAGCAGATTCAGGGGCAGGGAAAGAGAAGAAGTAATCCTTCCTGCATTCCACATCTAATGAAAAATTGATACATCAAAATCAAAGAAAACATTTTACACAACTATAATTTATTTTGGGGAAGATGAGTAACATTTCTCAAGTGCCTACCATATATCAGGCCTCTTAAAATACCAGAGAAATAGACATCACCCCTCTTTAGGGAGGCTCTAGGACCCACATCCCTACTCAGTGCTCCAGGATGTGGGCGGAAGTCTCTGCCTGTTACGTGATACGTACCACACAGCCTCCCGAAGGACTGGACAGCCAGGTCGCTGCGATTACGACGTTAACACGTTGAACAGGATTATGTTGCAGTCCACATACTATTGAATCAAAGATGGTCACTGGCATATTGTTTGCTTTGCTATAAAAATAACAGTGCACATATGAGCACAGTGCCTGACACACAGTATGCTCTCGATACATGTTCAGTAAGTTGAATCTGTCAGTAAAAGAGGGCCATGACTTTTGTTGTTTCTGCTTTTGGTTTGGGGCTCTAGCCATGGTGCTACTTTGATTTCACTTTGACTTGGCAATTCAAATGTATATTATATTCCACAAATATGGGTTTGCTGAACTAAATAACAAATGAAGATTCTATAAACCTGTAAAATCACAGATCTCCCAGAATACCCTTGGTCTGTGTCAAAAGAAAAAAAATGGCCAACTTAGAATAGGCATGCATTGTACTCCCATCCAAATTTATGAATAATTGAATACGAATTATGAATAAATATGCCGGAAGGTCTGAAACTAGTTGAGGTGGTGAATCGCTTGAGCATTATGGAATTCTGTGTGGGGCACCAAGCAAGGAATGCGAATACCCCACACTGAAAATGTCTAATTATGATGACGCACCACGTCAGATTCAACTTTATGCAAGATTATTATAAAGGAGTAGTTGCCAATGGTTTGAAAGAAAAATCATGGGAGAAAAATCAACATTAATATTCTATTAAACTGGTTTCTTCCCCCTAGGAATTAAGGAAAACTCTCTCACTATTCCAGCAGTATAATATTTTTGTTCAGTTCTAAGACGATGGGAACCTAGTCTAAAAATTATCCTTTCAGCACTTCATATTTCTGGAGATCTGCATGAAATAAAATTGGTATAAATATATATATGTGCGTGTGTGTTTGAGGTACTAGGACATCAATTTTTTTAATCTCTCAGTTGAATTTCTTCCCAAATGGAGAATCTTTTTGTTCTTTGATCCTTCCAGCCTGTCTGCATTCTATGATCAGATTTTGATAAAACAGGCTTGGGATGCACCTGGATAATTAGGTAATTGTGCATAATTTAGAAATCCAGCGACTGTATAAACCATACTTAATAATGGACTATTTTGCTCTCATCTTGACCCCAGAACTTAGGTCTCAAGAAGTTATTATCTATGATGATGTGGACATAAACGAAAAAGAGTCCAAGTAAGTCAATTTACCTCACTGGGCATCCCTGCTATTTAAGCCATTTCCTTTGTTAAGCTTTCTTAAATATGATCAGAGGGCCATCTCTTCAGATCCTTGGAGACTGGATGAAAAGTCAACTTGTGATATTTCCCCCACCAAGAAGGGAAAACAATGAAGAACGTAGATGATCTAACAGCGGTAGGTGATTCAAAAATCACTGGAGCTTTGGAATCTATTTCTTTGAATTTAGAGACTCATTTCAGCATAACAAACGCTTATTTAATAACCTCCTATGTACAGGGCAACTTGGAGGCCAGCAGGCGCTCTCTGACAGAACCTCTGTTCTCAAAGACTAAATAACTATAATCTATCAAAAAAGACAGCACCTGCAGCTCATGCTCCGCCTCTGGCTACTTGTTATCTGTCTTTTCCCTCTCAACGAAATGGCTGCAAATAAAGCTCTCGTCTGCTCGTCTTTCCACACTCGTTGCAATTGCTCTTCTGTTCCTATCATACCAGTGAACTTATTTTTGCTAACGTCACTAATAACTTGTTAAATCCAGTGGATACCTTTAAGTCCTTATCTCACTTGGCTTCTCTCCAGTGTCTCAAACTGTGGACTAAGCCATCCTTCAAAGGAAAAAAATATTAGCTTTTCCCCAGGTTTCCATGTTATCATTATTTCCTATTCCTCATCTTTGGCTGTTGTTTGTTTGGTTTTGTGTGTGTGAGTGTGAGTTCTAATTCTACCATTCATCTCCTTAAAAATTATGTGTTCCTCAGATTTCCTATTTCAGTTCAGTTCTTCCTTTATACGTTCTTGAATGATCTCGTCCATACCTAGGGCTTTAAGTGTAATCATTATGGTAATAATATCGAAATTTACATTTTGAGGTCAGATTTCTCTCCTCCACTCTAATAAGCCTGCTGGATAACTGTGTGAGACTCAGAATTCCATAATAACTCATAATCTCAACCCTCCCGTCCAAAGATGGCCCCTTTCTTCTAGTCTCTGTGTTCGTGATTGTTGCAGTAAACACGCAGTTGCCCAAACCGAAACCCTAGGCATTGTCCTTGACGGCTCCTTCCCTCCTGCCCTGTGCCTCTTCTGTTCCAATAACCTTCGAAGCAGCCCCACTTCTCCATCCCTACTGCACAGCCACAATGCAGGTCCTCACTGCTTCTCAGACGCGCTACCGCAACAACTTCCTAAATGGCCGCCTCACTGCTACTTCAGTTTATTCTCCAAACTTTCCAAAGGGCAAATGTGATCATGTCACAAAACCTGCCATCCACCAGCTTACAAATGTTCAGTGGTTGTCCATCGCTCCCAGAATGAAATCCAAACTGCTTAGGAGGACATGAAGTTCATTCATGATCCAGCCCCTGGCAAACTCTTGGCCTCACCTGCACTTCCCGCTCACCCACGATTGTTGTGTTCCATCCACGCTATACAAACTGGAGTTCCTCAAACTCAGCAAGCTGTCCAGCCGCTTTAAACCTTCACATTTGTTCCAGACTCATCAGTTCACTCAGCCAATATTTACTGAGCATGTACTGTCTGCCAGGCATTGAGTATAAAGCAGTGAACAAAACAGATATAATTCCTGTTCCTGCCTGATTGGAGAGACGGAGAAATAAACAAAAAATAAATATATAATTACACGTTGGAATTTGGTTGCTTTGAATACTTTGAAAGAGAGTGGACATAGGGTGTGTGTGTTGGGAGGAGATTAATAGTCATTTTAGAGTAGATAGCTGGGAAGGCCTCTCCAAGGAGATGAGAATTTAAGAACAAAAGAATGGTTCTACCTGTAACATTTGCCATGCATTTTGCCTGGTTAACTGTTTTATCCCTCATTATTTAAAAGTGAATTCAGACTTTTACTGCTGTCCTTATCCGTTTGGGTTAGGTACCCTTTTTTATCAGAACATTTTTCTCATAGTTGTAGTGTCTTATTTCTTGCCGGTCTCCCCCCTAGATGGGAAGTCCCTCAGGTAGGGACGATGGCTTCCCCACTGTATCATGTGGCCTCATACCAGAGCAGTTTCTTAAATCAGTTGACGAAGAACCTGCTGAGAAATATGTGCAAAATAATCTGGAAGCTCAGAGTAGGCAGCCATTTCCTATTGCATAGGATTTAAGGGATCAGAAAAGTGTCTGTGCCAAGTTGAAGCAGGAAGGATGGGTAACATTTTGACAGATGGGGACTAGGGATCAAGAAGAGAGACAGAGGGGAGGGTAGGCAGGTGCGGGGGGGGGGGGGGGTGTGCACAACTTTGTAAATAGAAACACGTGTGTTTGGGTATTTTCATTGGACTGTGAGGCACATACTCAGGAAAGAGAGTGTTACAAAGCAGGAAATATAATTTGGCATGAGATGGAGAAGGGCCCTGGAATATCAAATTAGAGTTAAGAATGTATTCTTTTTCTTAAAAATAAATTGTATGATTTTTATAAAAATCAAAAGAAAGCAAGAAACATATGTAAGTTGTAAGGCATGATAAAATAAATTCCCCCGGACCCATCAGTCAACTTCAGAACCAGGACATAGCCGATGCCTTGGCTTCTCTACTTTGCACGCATCCCCTAGCCTCTCTCATTGCCTTTCCCCCAAAATAACCACTCTCCTAAACTTTATGACTTTCATTTCCTGTTCAAAACAAAAATGGTGTTATCAAACACAGATGACAAAAATACATTCTTCATTTGGAGTTTGAACATTATAAATATGGTATCATGCTATATATAGAACTGGGCAACTTCTGTTTTTCACTCATAAAATCTGTCCCTTTTTTAACACTTGTAGTTCACTTATTTCTACTGTTCTGTGATATTCCATTGTACGTATATACCAGAGTTTATCCATTCTCTTGTAGGTGGGTATGGGGGCAGCTCCAGATTTTTTGCATTTAGGAACAATAACGCTACAAGTATTTTTATTCATGTGCCCTGTGAACATGTGTAAGAATTTTTATAGGAGATATATATATACTTAGAACGGGGAAGAAATGCAAATTATATTGTTTTCCAAAGTGGCTGCACCAATTTACATTTTACCCAGCAGTATACACAGGGAGAATTGATTCACATTCTCAGCAACACTTAGCACAGAAAGAATTCTTACATTTTTGCCAATTTAGTGGATATAAAACGCTACTTCATTGTGATATTAATTTGCATTACCTTCATTACTAACAATGTTGAACGCCTTTTCATATGTTTATTCACCATTCATATCTTTCCTTCTAAAGAAGACCTGTTCATGGCTTTGCCTGTTTTCTCTCGGGTTCCCGGCCTGTTTCTCTTCCTTTGTAGACAGGAGTCTCTGCACTCGAGATGCTGCTCCCTTGTCACTTGTGTTGCAGATATCTTCTCGCACTTTGCAGTGTGCCTTTTCAACTTCCTTTCAAGTCTTCTGACGAATAGAAATTCTTAACTTTAACATATTTGAATTTCTCAATTTTTCCTTTATGATTGCTGCTTTCCGTATCTTTGAAAGAAATCTTTATCCCTAGGTCATGATAGTGTCCCATGTTTTCTAAAACTGTTAAAGCTTTGCCTTTTACACTTAAACCTTAGATCTATCTGGAACTGATTTTTGTATTTATAGTGAAGGAGAGATCCAATTAAATTTTTTCCCATATGGATAAATGTCCTAGCATGAATAATTGAATAGTTCCTATTTTCCCCATTGATCTGGAATGCCATCTTTGTCATAGCAAATTTCCATCTATCTGAAGGTCTGTTTCCCTGCTCTCTATTCTATTCCAGTGTCATTTCTATGTTAACTGCATTGTGGTCTGCAAAAGTATTTAATATGATATTCGTACGCTGTGAAGGTAGTTGACACCAGTACTTTGACACGCTGAGTCATGATTCATGCACAGCATATGGTCAGTTTTTGCAAATGTTCCATGTGCACTTTAGAAAAAAGTGACTTCTCTCATTGTTTGATACAGGGCTCAATTTCTATCCTTTAAATCCTTTAAATTAAACATGAGTTAATCCTCTTGTTAAAATCTTCTGTAGATTCATGAATTTTTAGATGCTTGATCCATCAATATTTGAGAGAAATGGGTTGAAATCTCACACAAAGATGGTAGATTTGTCAGTTTCTTCCAAAAGTTCTATCATCATTTTTTGCTTTATATATTCTAAGGCTCTTTTATTAGTTGCATACAAAATTAAAACTATCTTCTAGTGAGCCGTTTCTTAACTGTGTTTTAGACATCTCTATCCCCAATACTATTAATAACAAAAATAACACTTATATAGTTCTTACTGTGGGTCAGTCACTGTTTCATACATTTAATATATGTTAACTCTTTCACTCTTCACAACAATCCTCTGAGGTAGATGCTATTATTATACAAATTTTATAGAAGAGAAACTGAGGCACAGAGGTTAAGTTACTCACCCAAGCTCACACAGCTAGTAAGTGATAGAACCAGGATTCCAACCCAAGCAACTGGACTCCCAATCTAATCTCTTTACTACTACACCATGCTATATCTCCTAGAGATGCTCTTTGTCTTAAAGTCTAATTTGCCCAATATTAATATACCTACTTGGCCTTTCTTTTAGTTAGTATTTGCCCAGGATACATTTCTGATCCTTTACTTTTCTATTTTCCATATTCTCATTCTCTATGTCTCCCATAAATTCCATAGAACTGAATTTGGCTTTTTAAAAGTCCAATATGACAATCTGCCTTAACTCCTACCTTGCCCTTGATCTAAGGTTCAATCTTCTGAAATATTTGTGGTGCTGATACTAGCATTTTCCTCAGGACAAATGTGCCTTTTGTGCTTGCATGCTGCTTACTGCTGCTCTCTGTTCTGGTTTCAGCTTATTTGGTGGGGGTACAATGGGTAGTACTTACTCTAAGTGTAAAGGATAGCAATTTGTTAAAACAAAACAAAACAAAAAACTTTTATCCAGGATCTCGTCGTTTTGTATTGGGAGGGCTCTTTCAGAATTTTCTTCTGCCCTACTGCCAAATGTCCAGAACCCTGAGCAAGAGGAGAATATAACCAGAGTCACACTTCAGGAAGAGTAACCCGACCCTTCTACAGAATGTTTTGAGAGAAAGTCAGAAACAGAACATATGTTAGAATATAGTTACTATTGCTCAGGCGAAAGATGATCAAAATGCATTCTAGGGCAGTGAAAGAAATGAAGGAGAGGGGAAGATATTTCAGGGGAGAACTTAAGAGGATTTTATTAAATTGTAAACTCCTTTGGTAGAAACCAGATCCTCTTCATCCCTGTTATCCAGCTCCAAATATAGCACTTAAGACATGGGAGGTACGCAAGGAATATCTTCTGACTAAATGATATTTAGCTCTGTTATACACTGACCAATTTCTTTTTCATGTGATAGAGTAAATCTTTAGTAGTTTGGCCTCACAGAAACCAATTATTAAAGGCATTTGTAGCAGGCAGACCATAGATGGAAAGTAGCAGAATTTGGAATGAGAAGAGAGAAGGAAGATGATACCCGAGTTCTTCTAAGCTTGCCTAGTCTGCATGTCATGTCTTGGTAGGGGTTAGATGAAGGGGTAGCCTATACAGCTCTGGACTAAATTGCTGCTAGGTGATCCAGACTTCTCTTTACATTTCACATCCTTTTGTTCATTAGAACATCGGCTAGAGTCAGTGAGGGCAGGAAGAAGGAGGCATCTGGGAAAGGACACAGGAACTGCTTCCACAACGTGGCCCCAGCGGGCCCCGCGGCATGTCATCTTACCTTTCTGAGCCTCAGTTTCTTAACCTTTAATACAGCAATAACAATCCCCATCCTGCCAAATTCATTACGTTCTCAAACTGGATCCCTAGAAAAGCTAAAATAAGTTGACAAGGAGACAAAGTTGACCATAATGTTCATGTGGCTAGCACGAGTATACAATGGTATGCTCTCCCTGAAAGAATAATTTGGCAATATGTATCCAGAATCCCATGAATTTCACTTAAGCCAATAATTCCACTTCAAGCAATTATCTCTAATGAAAAAATAAAGGAAAAATAAAGAAAAAATTTTATGTTCAGAAATGTCTATCTCAGTGTTATTTATAAAAAGGAGATGCTTAAAACCACCCAACTATCAAATATGTAGTACTTTGCTAAGTATATTATGGTGTAGCACTCAACATAACCATTTAAATACATGCTAAATATGTACTAAGTAGTTTCCAGTGACGTGGAGAAATGCTTATACTTATGATGCAATTGAAAAATAGCAAAGTGCAAAACTATATGTACAGTATCATCTCAACTCAGTTTTAAAAAGTGCTTGGAAACATGTTTAGAAGGAAACTTGGATGTCGTTGAGAGGTCAGATTATGCTTCTTTTATCTCCTTTTCACTTCTGCTTCCAATTGTTGAAATACTCAGGATAGACTGGTTTACAATCAGCAAAGAAAACAAACTTTTCAGAAAGCACGCATTTGTTCTGCCTGCCCCGTAGTCATAGCTCCTTGCACACAAGCGCGTGCCTGAGGTTCTCCGTGAACACTCGCTAGATGCCTGCATTGTGCTCACCTCGTGGGCCACACACTGGACTATCCGTTTGAATCCCAACTTCTGGGAAGCTAAAGTGGAGAGAGGAAACAAGTGACCATCGGACAGTTAGAAAAGGAGTGATTGCTGAGCTCCTTGCTACAGACTCTGAAGGCGACAGACATTGAGAAGAGACAGGGATGGCAGATCCCTGGGCGAGGCCCGAAAGGCTTCTGAAATCCTACCCTAAGCTCATCTTCGATGCTGCTCAAATGCTGAGTCCTTGACACTCTGTTGGACACTTATGACTATAACCTGAAGGGAATCGTGACACAGTGTCTCTGAAAATCTCAAAAATTCCTCTGACGTAACATCCCTGTGGTTATGATTTACCCACTGAAGCGTTATTGAAGTGTTCGGGTGTGCAGACACCACAGACATACAGCTGAGTGACGGCGTAGGGTCCTGTTTTGCTCATATCAATGACGGACATATTGGTCACCTTGTCATGCCAGGGAAGAAATGTGTTGAAGAAGCAGGCATGATGAAAGACCAAAGACTTTGGAGTCAAATGTACCTGGGTTCATAGTCACTGTTTCCGTGACCATGACAAAATACCCAGTTCTCCGATCGTGCATTTCTTTTTTGTTTTGTTTTGTGAGGAAGATTGGCCCTGAGCTAACATCTGTTGCCAATCTTCCTCTTTTTGCTAGAGGAAGCTTGTTCCTGAGCTAACATCTGTGCCAATCTTCCTCTATTTTGTATGTGGGATGCTGCCCACATAGCTTGATGAGCAGTGCATAGGTCTGCACCGGGGATCCGAACCTGTGAACCCTGGGCCACCGAAGCAGAGCACATGAACTCAACCACTACGCCACTGGGCCGGACCCCATGCATTTCCTACTTTGTAAAATTACCTGGATGACTATTTTAAAGGATGGCTACAATGCTTACCGTGAAAACCAAATTAGTTATCATATGTAAAGTACCCAGCCTAAGACTTGACACAGAGGTGCTCAAAAAGTGTTCATGCTATGAGACCCTCTCCCCTCCCTGCCATGCTCTTCTCCTAATGCCAAACACTAGCTGGATCAGTCTTGTCTCACAGTGAAGGGATAGATATTGTTCATGTCTTAGAGGCAAAGAAACTGAGGCTCTGAAAGGAAAGGAAGTGTGATTATAAGCAGGCTGATCTCTTGCTTCTGGTGTCAAACTTGGATCCCTACAGACCAGAGGTCAGCAAACTATGGCCTGTTGGCCAAGTGCTGCCAGCCACTTGTTTTTGTAAATGCAGTCTCAACAGCAGAGTTAAGTAGCTACCGTGGAGGTGTATGGCTTGCAAAACCTAAAATATGTACTATCTGGCCTTGTCATAGACTGTCAAAATATACTCCTAGATGACTTTTAAATTTTTTGTAAAACATAATTGCCCAAAAAGTACTGATGGTTCCACGATGTTTTAGTTCCATCTTAATTTACTTGCTCAAAATATTTTTCTCCTCAGAGATGAAGATAAACTAAAAGCTTGGAAGCCCAAGTTTTTGATACCAAAGGAAAAAAAAGAGAAGAAATGTGCTGAAGAATCAGAAAGGTAGGCACACAGGTGCACTCACGTTACAGCTTATCTCCTGCACTTTGTACCTCTTCCTAGCTGGGCGGCCTGGGGCAAGTCATCCAATTTGATTTTCAGGTTCCCCATCTAAAAAATGAGAATAATAACGTCTACATTATAGCACAGTTGAGAGGATTAAAAGAGATAAAGAATATGAAAACGTAAAGTGTCACAAACATTTATCTTCATCATTACCGTCTGCTTTTGGTGGATGGGGAGTGAGGAAAGATTTCAAGCCAGCCCTTAGCAAACGATGAAAAACTTCTAGCCTTTTAGACTGTAAGAACATTTTCTCTGTAAGATACAACTTAAATAATACACCAATTTGAACTTAAACGAAACTTTGAGAAGAGAAACCAGATATATAGTAAGACTGATTTCCCTAAATTACAGTATAATTCTGGTTATGACTACATTAGTGTTAAAACTTTTAAAAAATGTTTTATCAAGATCTAACCTTCATTCATGCGATTCGGGCTCCCCGCTGGCTGTTGGGGAGGTGATGGTTTTTGCTGTCTCAGACGGTTACTTAGAGCTCTGTGCTGCTGCTGTCCTCTCCTCAGCAGCCAGGGCGTGGGGCGGGATCTGAGGCACCTTAACAAACGCGTTGGGGAAATCCTTGTGTAAAAAGTCACCGAGCTAGGAACACTGTGGGGTCTGTCTGCTCTGGGAAACCTGTCTAGAAAAGACCCACAGGAGCACCCCCAACAAGTCAGACATGTCTATACCAAATTTAAACTCAGAGGACAGCATAGGATGGCCCTTCCCTTAAATTTATCTTCTTTAGGTTTAGACTTGATGTAATTTATTTTTCCCACGTTGGAAAGGTATATTCAGAGACTAGAAAAGCATCTTTCCACCTGAAAGATCATGCTTTTACATACCTTGGCATAGCATAGCAAAACAGAATTCCAAGAGAGGAAACATCAGTGAAGTTTCTGTCTGCCCCTCCCCCAAAAGCTTTTTAGTATTTTAATGACTACGTCTAAGTCTTTTTAGGAAACAATTTCCTAGTGCTTTTTTAACTTCTTACAACAAACTGACGTGATAGTTTACTTCTATTCTCAACTGAGTGAATTGAAAATGCAACATTGAGGCTATCATTGTTCCTGTAGATTGATGCATCAATTTCTCTGTGCTCTTTGTTCCTTTTTCAGTGGTTTCTACCATCACTTATTCTGTCAATAAGAAATGCTTTCTACATTAGTTCAGTCCTTTCATTATCCCTTTATTAATCAAAGATGATGACAAGTTTTCAGAGAAGTTGGGGAAGACTATCCCAGGTATGAAAGACATGGAAATGAGAACCCACCTTCTGAGGTGTTCCATGTGGAAAAGGCAGCTGGAGAGGAAGACCAGGGCCAGATTCTAAAATGCCCTGCATACCAGGCTAAGGAATGTGACTTTATCTTATAGGCTGTCAAGACAGATTGAAAGGTTTTAAGAGACATGATCAATTAATTTTTAGAAAGATGACTCTGGAGGCAGGTATGAAGATGATTTGAGAAAGGAGAGGCTTCTAAGTTTGCTTCAGAGAAGTTTCTAGTTTAACCAACTTGATTTTATTCCAAATTATCTTGCTATCAAAAAAAGACTTTAATTGTAGGGAAGAGTGATTGGTATTACTTACCCTGTCCAGTTGTTTGACAATCTGCTCCAGAGATGTGTATGTATATACATATACATGTACATGTATATACATACACACATTTTATATAAAATTATACACGCAAAATTATACTTGAATTTATCCTGAAATAGAGTGGGTTGATAGATTTGGAAACTTAAAGAGTGTTATGATGGTACATTAAACCCTACTGCATATTTCTTGCCAGTTTATCTCCTAGAAATTTCTTCAGACCTAAGAAGCAAAACTTAGAAAAGAACAGAATGGAAAGAGAAGAAAAACTTTTTAGAGAAAGATTTGAGGTAAGCTCTTCTCTAAAGGTAAAAATTAGCAAGATTAAAGGCTGGGCATTTCTATTTTTAAAGATTCTGTAAGGGTGTTGCACCTCTGCCTCTCTGGGATAGACAGAATCTCTGACTTAGCTGATGTTTGATTTTTTCCTGATGTATTTCTACATTCTGTATTCTCAGGCCTTTGTACATTCCCTTCCCTCGGCCTGGAAAAGCTCCTATGTTCTTTAAAGCTCTGTTCAAATGTCACCCGCTCTTCCCTAACCCGTCCAGGCAGTTATTCCCTCAGCGTATTTTATGTATCTATTATACTCATATCCGTCATTACAGCATGTATGTGTGTGTGTGTATTCTGAACTGAACTCTTGAGTCCCTTTTGAAGGAGAGATTTTTGTCTCATTCAAGCTCCCCAAATCAAACTGGACACACAGTGTTCAGTGAATGAACGAA